CCCCAAAACCCCAAAACCCCAAAACCCCAAAACCCCTTGCAGTGTAAAATTTATTAAGACCATTAAATATGGAAATTTCCTAATAAACACAAAATATATATCTTTGTGCAGTAAACTAAGTACTCAATAGAAATATTGCTAATAAAACTCAAACTTTTCATTTTTGGTACATAATGCTCAAAGCATAATAGAGTGAAGTATATTTGTGTGAGAAATCAGATTAATAAAAAATCATCACATAGGTCAGTCCCGAAAGATGACAGTTTGGATAATCATCACTTTCTCATATTAAATATATGTTTTAATATATTAATTATAAAGTTTAGGTTAGAAAGTACTTATTAATTACAAATTTCCAATCAAATCAATTCAATTATTTTATTGATAAAATGTCGAATCCCCCACTATAAAATTACTAACAATAACGGCCTCTAATGTACAAAGAGAAGTCTCTGATTAAACACGTGGGTTAATATACATCTCAGTTGGATAAATCAGCGCCAAATCTCTTCAATAACAAGGAAATGATAAGGAAATCGATTGAAAATCTAAAAACAGCCAAAAGAAACCATAACTATAAGCAATTATACCAGAGTGCCTATGTTAATGACAGCATGATGAATACTAATCCACTAATTGGTTCAATTGATTTTAGCAATCAATAGTAGCCTATTTATTCAATGCAAAGTAGTCTAGTTTATGGCTAAAAGAACAAGGTGACAAGCTAGTTAAAGTAATCATTAGTTCAAGAATCTACTCTACTGGCAAAAGAAAATTAAGCTTAACTTAGCCATAGATCGAACAGATCCTAAGCAGCACAAATTAATTCAAATATTACGAATAATCTTAACATCAATAATGATCTAACAAAGTATTAAGTTTTCTCATGTGGAGGAGTAGCAGGTTCGGGTAGTAACTATGCAGGAGATATCATTAATTCAAGACCTCAAAGTGTTTTTGCTCCAGTAGAGGATTCTGCTGTGCTATCTGGAACATAACACCCATATATATTTGAGTAGAATAGAGTGCCCAATTACTTTGAGAATACAAACAAAGCTCTCAAACTTTCCTAAAACATAGATTCTATGAATGCAAGTCTTGATTTCTCTTAATACCCAGGCAAGACCGGAAGTAACTATTATGCGACTAATTTCACTCTCAAAAGTAGCGTTTCTAAGAGTAATAACAGGCTAAGAAGACTAAATTAGACTGACTTGAATAATGCTTCTTTAAAATTTATCCCTGTGGCAAGGCAATCGCTTACAGGTATTCTTGGTCGAAATCAGTAATAAAATAGCAGTGTAGACCAAAAGCCTAAAGATACTAGAGGCTATGACTTATCTACTTCCTTTGAAAGTTAGCAGCAGTACTTGAAAAATAGATATTAGCATCCATCAAAACTGACTTCTCCTTAGGACTTTGAGGATTTAAGGTAGAGTAATGAGCGTTAGATCCCTTACTTTGAAAAAATCTCTAAAGAAGATTTGAATAAGACTGTTAATAACTTTAAGATACTCAAGAATCAACACTCAAATGAGATTTAAGAGCCTGCATTTGGCAATAGCAGAGCCAAGTCTTTGCAAAAAATTAATTTGATCAATTAGAATATAGTAATCGTACCTCTGAAACAGAATAATAATAGATAAAGAGTCATCTCTGACTTTTGGGAGAGGGAAAGGTCGCCTCATCACTCACAAGAATTCAGGCAAAAAGTTAAATAGTTTCCAAACTTATTTGCTAAGACTAAGTCAGAGTTTTCAAAGCTATCTAATGCTATTCCCACATCAAATCTTATCATTAGGTCTAATTATATGCGCAATGGGATATTTAAGTGATCTAATGAAAGATTGATAGGCCAGTTTACCATGAAATCTATAAAGTACAGTTTTTAATTTGCATTTTACTATTTTATTTTGATATTTCAATCACTTATATTTCCTAGCGGGGTTTTGGGGTTTTGGGGTTTTGGGGAGATCGGAAGAGCAC